TAGTATTCCGGGGAGGCCCGGCTTCGTAATTTAGTATTCCGGGGAGGCCCGGCTTCGTAATTTAGTATTCCGGGGAGGCCCGGCTTCGTAATTTAGTATTCCGGTGAAGCCCGGCTTTGTAATTTAGTATTCCGGGGAGGCCCGGCTTCGTAATTTAGTATTCCGGGGAGGCCGGGGACTTGCTGGGAGGGGCCGTTTTGGTCAAAAATCCAGAAAACGAGAGCCCACCCGGGACCGTCGATTTCAGTACTAAAAAATCACATTTTAAATAGGGACCTGGGCCGATCCTGGGGTCCCCCTCATTTGGGGTGTTTTTGGAGGCAAACTCATCAAGGGGGGGTCGGAGTTTGAGGCAAGGGGGGGTCTCCGAAGACTATTTTGCCTTTAAAATTGAAAAATACCACCCCCCCTTGACCAAAACTAGGCTGTGAAAAGGTCGCGGGGGCGGCCCTTCATCAGAACTGAGGCTTAAAAACCCTGAAAAACATTGAAAAACCTTAAAAAACATTGAAAAACTCTGAAAAACCTTGAAAAACCTTGAAAAACTTGCAATCCTGAGGTGAAAGCTCCGTTTTGGTCAAAAAACCCAGAAAACGAGAGCCCACCCAGAACCGTCGATTTCAGTATTAAAAAACCACATTTTTAATAGGGACCCGGGCCGATCCTGGGTCCCCCTCATGTGGGGTGTTTTTGGAGGCAAACTTTCCCTCTCAAGGGGGGTCGGAATTTGAGGCAAGGGGGGGTCTCCGAAGACTATTTTGCCTTTAAAATTGAAAAATACCAGGCAGTGAAAAGGTCGCGGGGGCGGCCCTTCATCAGAACTGAGGCTTAAAAACCCTGAAAAACATTGAAAAACCTTAAAAGGCACTGAAAAATTCTGAAAAACCTTGAAAAACTTGCAATCCTGAGGTGAAGGCTCCATTTTGGTGAAAAAAATCCAGAAAACGAGAGCCCACCAAGGACCGTCGATTTCAGTACTAAAAAAATCGCATTTTTAATAGGGACCCGGGCCGATCCTGGGGTCCCCCCCTCATTTGGGGTGTTTTTGGAGGCAATCTTTCCCTCTCAAGGGGGGGCCGGAGTTTGAGGCAAGGGGGGGTCTCCGAAGATTAGTGAAAAATGCCACCCCCCCTTGACCAAAACTAGGCTGTGAAAAGGTCGCGGGGGCGGCCCTTCATCAGAACTGAGACTTAAAAACCCTGAAAAACATTGAAAAACCTTAAAAAACATTGAAAAACTCTGACAAACCTTGAAAAAGCTTGAAAAACTTGCAATCCTGAGGTGAAGGCTCCGTTTTGGTCAAAAAACCTCGTTTTCTGCCCACCCAGAACCGTCGATTTCAGTACTAAAAAATCGCATTTTTAACTGTGGCCCGGGCCGATCCTGGGGTCCCCCTCATTTGGGGTGTTTTTGGAGGCAAACTTTCCCTCTCAAGGGGGGTCGGAGTTTGAGGCAAGGGGGGGTCTCCGAAGACTATTTTGCCTTTAAAATTGAAAAATGCCACCCCCCCTTGACCAAAACTAGGCTGGGAAAAGGTGGCGGGGGCGACTGTTCATCAGAGCTGAAGCTTAAAAACCTTGAAACACCGTGAAAAACATTGAAAAACCTTAAAAAAACACTGAAAAACCTTGAAAAACCTTGAAAAATTGGAAATTTTTGAAACCGGTGAAGGCTCGGTTTTGGTCAAAAAACCCAGAAAACCGACGCGGCTGTGTATTATCCGTGTGCCGAAGTGACTAGACGGTGCCGAATCGAGAAAGAATGTTGCGAGCTAAATGATCAACTAAAGTAAGAAAGAAGATATGTAATTCAGTTGAAGAGGGATCTGGGAGGGAGGGGTGATGCCAAACACGTAGGGTGATGACAGAAACCCTTAGTGAATGCTTGGACCAGAGATGCTGAACCCTAAACCCTAAACCCTAAACCCTAAACCCTAAACCCTAAACCCTAAACCCTAAACCCTAAACCCTAAACCCTACACCTAAACCCTAAACCCTAAACCCTGAACCCTGAACCCTAAACCCTGAAACTGGACACATTTCTGTAAGCCCCAAGCGCCTTCGAAGCTGTGAAGCTCACCAAGGTGGAGGTCGAAAACTGCGACAGGCCCCGAGGGGGGCCGTGGCTGTTAAGAGTACAAGGACTTTTCGTAGGATACTAAGGGTTTAGGGTTTAGGGTTTAGGGTTTAGGGTTTAGGGTTTAGGGTTTAGGGCCGAGGGGGCAGTGGCTGTTAAGGTTGGAGTACACGGAGGGCCCCCCCCCCCCCCCCGCTTCCGATACTAACTATAGTTCAGGCCCGTACGATACTAACTGTAGTTCAGGGACGTAGAACCTAAGTGAGGATACTTGTAACCCAATATAGGTATAGGGCCCTCATACAGGTCATACAGTTCTACTCATAGCTAGGGCTTATAAGTAGGGCCCGCTTCCTTGTAGCGGGTTTGAGGGTTGAGCGTTTAGGAATTACTGTAAAGGGGTCAGGGTGTACGGTTGTTCAGGGGGTCGCTGTCCCCTAAACCCTCAACCCCAAACCCGAAACCTGGACTCGACTCTGGGACCGCAGCCCTTCCCTAGATGCAAGGCTCCATATTCTCTTAGGTACCCCCCCCCCTTCAAAGAAAATTAAGAAGCAAGTGTAAGACAAAAAACGGAATTTAAGCGTGAAGTCCCCTTCAAATCGACGTGAGGTGCTTCGTGAACGAGCCCTGTGACTGCTCAGTGCGGCCTCCTCAGTCATGAATGGCCAGCTTAGGGTTTAGGGTTTAGGGTTTTGGGTTTGGGGTTTAGGGTTTAGGGTTTGGGGTTTAGGGTGTAGGGTTTGGGGTTTGGGGTTTAGGGTGTAGGGTTTAGGGATTGGGGTTTGGGTTGTAGGGTTGGCTTCTGCAGAAGCTTGGTGGGCCCCAGCTGTGCCCGTGTAACCCCCAGGGGAGATGGCTCCTGGGCTGGTTTGGGGTTGGTAGGTTCGTGAACCCGAAACCCTAAACCCTAAACCCTAAACCCTGAACTCTAAACCCTAAACCCTAAACCCTGAACCCTGAACCCTGAACCCTAATGAGGTCAGGGGTGTGGGCAACTCGGCCTGATGGTTGTTGAGTGGTGTAGGTCCGGGGTTTGGGGTTTTGGGGGTGTGCAGTCTGGGGTGGGTTGGGTTTAGGGTTTGGGGTTTAGGGTTTAGGGTTTAGGGTTTAGGGTTTAGGGTAGCCAGGACCCAGAGTTGGCCCTTCTTCCCCATCCAGGCTGCAGGCTCTCTTAACTGTAAGCACCCTGAAACCACAAAGCGCACATTTTTATTCCGAGCCTAGGCTACTCTTCTAGGATGCCCAGTAGTACCCTTATTCCCTTTTTGGTAGGCTTAGGTTCCCTTATAAACCCCTTTAAGCAAAAAAGGGCACCCTTTTTCATGCTAGGTTACTGGGCAACCTACTCTTGGGTCGAGCGAGACCGGAGATCGGAGACCCAGACCTCCCTCAACCCCAAAAGTAAGCCCTAAACCCTAAACCTCCTAAACCCTAAACCTCGTAAACCCTCCAAACCCCCTAAACCCCGAAATTAAACCCCTTAAACCCTAAACCCTAAGCCCTAAGCCCTAAACCCTAAACCCTAAACCCTAAACCCTAAACCCCCTAATTAAACCCCTTAAACCCCTTAAGCCCCTTAAGCCCTGAAACCTAAACTGGGGGGCATTCGGGCTCAGGAAGTGCCAGGTCAACACCATCCAGCGCGCAGGCCGCCCGAAGGGCCGCCGGCACACTTCTGGGTTTAGGGTTTAGGGTTTAGGGTTTAGGGTTTGGGCTTTAGGGTTTAGGGTTTAGGGTTTGGGGTTTAGGGTTTAGGGTTTAGGGTGAGATTGCTTCTGCCTTGCATTTGGGGAAAGGAACTTTTTTGGGCAACGTTTTTGCACAAGTCCTGAGCAGGCTTTGTTTTAAGGAATGGATATGGGGTCACAGCCCATAGCCCTAAACCCTAAATCCTAAACCCTAAAACCCTAAAACCCAAAAACCCTAGATCCTAAACCCATCCACTTCCGAAAGCGAAGCTTCCTGGTGCCTCGGCGGCAGGCGACAAGGGCAGCAAGAGCTGTGGCCACGCCTCTTCCTTGGAGCCGTTTGAGGGCTTCTTTGGGTTTAGGGTTTCGGGTTTAGGATTTCGGGTTTAGGGTTTAGGGTTTGGGGTTTAGGGTTTAGGAAGCAGTTTGTGGGCTTCTAGGTTTAAGGGTTTCGGGGTTAGGGTGTTCGGGTGTAGGTGTTAGGGTGTTAGGGTGCTAGGGTTAAGGGATTAGGGTTCGGGGTGTTAGGGTTTAGGTGTTAGGGTGTTAGGGTGTTAGGGTGATAGGGTGTTAGGGTGATAGGGTGATAGGGGGATAGGGGGATAGGGGGATAGGGGGATAGGGGGATAGGGGGATAGGGCGTGATAGGGTTTACGTTGTTAGGGTCTTAGGGTGCTAAGGTGCTAGGGTGCTAGGGTTTATAGGGTTTGGCGTTTAGGGTTGAGGAAACTGTTCGTGGCTGGACGGGGGGGGGGGTCCCTTATGATCCTCTTTAAACTCCGGAAACGTATGCCCTTTGTTATTCCTCGGTTACTCCGGGTTTGGGGCGTTTCGTGTTTAGGTTTTGGGGCGAGGATTTGGGTTCAGCGATGGAGTTACGCTGCGTCATCGTCACGTCTTGGATTGGTGTTACTCACAGGGTATAAGCAACCCCCCCGGCCAAAACAAATGTAACCTGCTTCGAAACATCCCCAAGTGACTCAAAAGTTGCTTTGCTTCCTGGGCTCAACATCTGGAGCGAAGAGGCCAATGCTTTCGATGCTCTCCGGTCGCCTTTTCCTGGGAGTGGGGCGTTCGCAACTGCAGCCACGCGACTTCGGCTGCCATCCGGCGCGTTTCATCTCGGGCGTGGCGTCTCCGAAGCTCATCTCACCGACCTCCTGGCGATCGCGCCTCAGCGGTGCTTGGCAGCTGGGCATCTCTGCACTGTGGACTCGGAGGCTCGGTTCCAGCATGGCCGCGAGAAAGCGTCCGGCCAGTGAAGGCGCTTCGACCTGTAGCAAGAAGGACTTCGCCTCTAGTTGAACTTCAAACTTTTTGGGTTTCCCTATTTAGTAGGAATTTTAAAGCTTAACATTTTCCCCTTGGTTATTGGAGAAGTAAGAGGACTGTAACGGAATCATTCATGATGAAGATGCACGCGTGGAAGTGGCTGTTTCATTGCGAGGGGAGCCAGCACATGCGGACAGCAGGATCACGTGGCAAGATGGAGCCCCCATGGCTTTTCACAGATCCTGCTGGGACTCGTTGCTCCAAAAACGTGGCATGGCGTGCAGGGGTGGTGTGCAGGGATTGTTTTTGCATTTGCTTTGCTAGTGCAGCCGGTGGTGGATTTGCCGGTTGCCCTAAACCCTAAACCCTACTTTGTGGTACTTTACTGTAACTTTAGATCTTTAGCTTTTTTGGGTTTATTGGGTTTCTTAATAAGGCAGCTGAAAGTTTAATTTTTTACTACCCTCCTAAGTGCAGCCAAGCCTAAACCCTAAACCCCAAACCCCAAACCCTAAACCCTAAACCCTAGTGCCTGCACGCCAGATTCAGGTGCTTCTTTGCCTCGAGATGACCTTCAGAGATTGCAGCTGGCAGCAGCGACTGCTGAATACTTTGACTCGGCTCAGGCAACTTACGCTTAACTCTAGAACCCAGAGTAAGCCTTTTTTTGCTTTTTTAGGGTTTAGGTTCCCTTACAAGCCCCTTTAAACCACTTACGCTTAACTAGAACCCAGAATAAGCCCCTGTTGCCTTTTTTAGGGTTTAGGTTCCCTTATAAGCCCCTTTAAACCCAAAAGGGCACCCTTATCATTCCGAGGTTACTCTTGGGTTGAGCTAAAGCAGTGTGATGTGCTGTGCAACTCACAAAGATTCTGGCGACAGCTTCAGTGATCCTGCCAGGCTCCGAGAGTTTCATGAAACCTCGTCCTCGTAGCAGCTGAGGAATTGAGGCAAAAAGCACAAGAAGCAGCAAGCTTGCTCCGTCAGAGTTCGTGGCTAGGCTCAGTCTGGTACTGTAAATCACTCTGCCCTGACCCTAGACCCCAAACCCTAAACCCTAGACCCTAGACCCTAAACCCTAAACCCTAAACCCTTCCAGGTTTAATGCCATATACTGATATCATTTGTCTGGGCTGTCTTGGCTCTAGTTTGTTTGGGGGGAAGGGCTTTCCCCCTGTAGACCCTACAAGGAGGGCCCCCTTACTAAGATAACCATAGATAAGGGACTTTTAACCTATGTTCGGATACTTAGAACCCACATTCTAGGGCCTTTTTTTCTTAACTAGTGGGGGCCCTCCTTGTAGGCCCGATAACCCTAAACCCTAAACCCTAAACCCTAAACCCTAAACCAGGCGAGCCATTTGCTTCACTGGCGCTGGGCTCTCCACTGCGGCTGGCTTGGGCGACTACCGTGGCAAGCGCGGAAAGTGGACCCTTGAGGGCCAAGGCGTGGCGCCAATGGGGGTTTAGGGTTTAGGGTTTAGGGTTTAGGGTTTAGGGTTTAGGCTTTTAGTACATGATGCGTCATGCACCTAAACCCGAAGGTTTCCCTGTAATTATTGTGTCCCACCCTTGCGTGGTCAGTCAGGAAATAGGGGACGCCTAACATAGTACCTTAAATGCTAGGACTCCCTTACAATCAGGACCCCAATAAGGTACCCAAAGAGCCCACTACCCCTCAATTAATATTCCTTAAACCAAGAAGGATCGCATTATAAAGGGCTCTCTTGGTACCCCCAATATCGTAAACCCCCAAGGTGTATCGGAGGCCTACACCACGGTCTACGAAGAGTTGAGACCCACCTTCGGCCACGAAGCTGTTGCCAAACTCGTGGAGATGGGGAAGCTGCTGTGCTGGTTTCGGGTTTAGGGTTTCGGGTTTCGGGTTTAGGGTTTAGGGTTTAGGGTTTAGGGGTTTGAGCTGAAGCGAGCAAAGGGTCCATGTACCTGAGTAGTACTTGGGCAGCAGGGGGTCACGATATTAGGAAGTCCTTTAAAGCCCACTTACTTGGAGGTTCATGGTACTTCTAACCCTGTTATAGCTGTACTTGTAGCCCAATTCTAAACCTTTCAAGTGCCTTTATGGGTTAGAAGCACAGTTGCAATTGGGATAAGAAGTACCATTAACCTCCAAGTAGGCGTATGAACCCTTAGGGAAGTGGTGAGCGGCAAGAGCTGCGCGGCCTAGGATTCGATACGTTATCAGCCAAAATGCCGATGGCCTGCATCACTTGAGTGGCATCCCCTACACGAAGCTCTCGGACGTACATGGCTCAGCTTTCACTGAGTACTGCCCCAGCTGTGGAAAGCGCTATGTGCAGCTCGGCGCAAGTGTCTAGAGTGCAGCCATTTCCCCTTTTAGAAGTTACTTTCCCGTTTCAACCCCTAACAGCCCCAACCCTAAACTCTAAACTCTAGACCCTGAACCCTAAACCCTAAACCCTAAACCTCAATACCAAATCGTTTCTTTCCCTCGGGGCCTAGCTGCTTTTGTTCCCGGTCCAGGGACATGGCGCTTCAAGCTGCTTAGGGTTCAGGGTCCATGGATTTGTTGGGGGGGGGGGGTTAGGGTTTAGGATTTCAGGTTTAGGGTTCAGGGTTTAGGGTTTAGGGTTTAGGGTGCCAACTCCCTGGCTGAAGGCGTCAAGAATATGCCCCGGAGGATCGGGCTGAAGACGCTTTCCTGCATGGTGGGGCGGGGAGTCTCCCATCTGTGTAGGGCCAGCTGATCCCCAAACCCTAAACCCTAAACCTTAAACCCTAAACCCTAAACCCTAAACCCTAAACCCAAGACTGCCCCACTACCACAACTGAGGATTTCTTTGCTGGAAGGCTGCCAGGACCGATGCCTTCCCACATCAAGGCTTCTTGCGGTTTAGGGTTTAGGGTTTAGGGTTTAGCGAGTTAGGGTTTAGGGTTTAGGGTTTAGGGTTTAGGGTTTAGGGTTTAGGGTTTAGGGTTTAGGGTTTAGGGTTTAGGGTTTAGGGTTTAGGGTTTGGGCTTCTGGGGGTTAGGGCTTGGGTTTAAAGTTCTAAAAAGGCCCCCACTCCCTTCACAACCATACACCATACATATATGCGTACAAATACACACATCTACATATATCTATATATATATATATTTATATATATAGTGGTCTAGTTGTTTCTTTGTGAGGTCTCCATTATGGGGGAATGTGCGAAGAATAGACAACACAAGCCAGGCTCACTAAGCCCTAAACCCTAAGACCCTAAGACCCTCCCAAACCCTAAAACCCTAAACCCTATAAACCCCTCAAACAGATCCCTCCCAGGTTTGCCGGGGATGTGGCAGCAATCATTGGACTGGCCGCAGCTGCGAGGATTGTGGTCAGCTTCCTGCCTCTTAAGTGACGGGAATCGCCTGAAATCGCATGAGTTGTTCATCCCCTAAACCTTAAACACCACGCCCTAAACCCCAAACCCCAAACCCTAAACCCTAGCCCTAAACCCTAAACCCTAAACCCTAAACCCTAAACCCCCTGCGGGTGACGCGCCGTGATGGTGGAGATGCCCAGGCCTCTTCACGACACGGTCATCAGCTTCGGTGATGGTCTGGAGGAATGTGTCTTGCGACCTGCCTTCGAGTCCTTTGGCTCAACTTCCCGGATGCTCCGTTTTGGGGGTTTGTTGTTTGGGATTTAGGGTTTAGGGTTTAGGGTTTAGGGTTTAGGGTTGCCTAAACCCTAAACCCTAAACCCTAATAAACCCCAAACTGTAGCACAGTGAGACGCAGGCATGCAGCTGAAGCTGATGCATGCCTAAGTTTGGGAAGCACCATGAGCATTGGGCCCTCGAACCAGGCAAGGCATTCGCAATAGAGGGGTCGGAATAATTTCCCTTAGGGGCCCCTTCGGAATTATACGATAATAACACCCAAAACCCTGTTCTAATACTATTCCCTTAAAACCCTGTTCTTTTTTTAAGGCTCCCATATCAGGCAGATGCTCATCTCGGCAGTGTTGTTAGTTGTTGGGCTCACTGTCAGAGGTGGTGCTGATCCAAAAGGGGCCGCTGATAGTCTGCGTGCGTCAGGACCGAAACTGTGGGAGTTGCAGCCAATACCTGTATACCTGAAACATATACTAGATGCTATATATATATATATGTGTATATACATATACACATATTGTGTATCAAATATGCATTTATGTATATGTCGATATATATATATATATATATATATATGTATATGTATGTATAATTCAAGATAGTATATATATATGTGTATATATATATATATATATCTGTATGTATGTATGTATGCATGCATGCATGTATGTATGTATACTATACAATATATGCATATACACACACATACATATACATACATATACATACATATACATACATATACATACATATACATACATATACATACATATACATACATATACATACATATACATACGTGTACATACCTATACACACATATACATACATATACATACATATACATACACATACATACATATACATACATATACATACATATATTTGTATGTATGAGTGTACGGACCGATATTCAGTCCTTGGAAGTCAGGACACCGAGATGGACCAACGATGTGTTTCAACAGGAAACTTTTTGATTGTTGAGCACGACCTTTGTAACCAGTGTTTAGGGTTTAGGGTTTAGGGTTTAGGGCAGTTCATGCCATGTTGTTTGCCTTTACTTGTCCGTGCATCCCCGAGACCCTAAACCCTGAACCCTAAACCCATCACAGTCAGGAGGGGTGCGCGCATACGGAGATTGCGATGAGTGCCTCGTCTTTTCCATAGGTGAATCAGGAAAAGCCGGTAAAGTTTCAGGGTTAGGGTGTATAGGGCTAAAGGTTTATAGGGTTTAGAAGTACAGCTACAGCATTTGATTTGACCCTGTCAGTGTCATGGCTAAGGTTTCTATACCATCTCATGGTGGACATGCTGGGCGAAGAATATGCTGAATGGGAGGCCTGCGGCAGAAGCCTTAAACCCTAAACCCTAAAAAATCCCAAGTCGAAGCCCTAGTTGTTCAAGACTCGGCAGTGGAACTAATTAACCCCTAAACCCCTAAACCCCCAAACCCTCAACTAAGAATGGCCAAGGCTTCCTTGGATCAGAAGAAGAAGACCTACGATGCGCAGCGGCCTGCTACTGGTAAAAAGCGTGGGGACATTTTTGCAGCTTGGCAGGTTTACCCCTCGGGAGGGATCCAGGTACCTATGTAGGATGTACTTGGGCCGGAAAGGGGATTCCTATATACTGGTTTTAGGGCCCAAGTACATACTACACAGGGCACATGGATCCTTCGGGAATAACTCGCAAAAGCAGACCGCTGCAGCAATCCATCTGAATCGTCAGAATTGTGGGTGTCGCATTCCTCAGATGCCCAGTCGACCCTTATTTCTTTTTTTGGGGGGGGGTTCAGGTTTCCGTATACACCCCTTCAAGCAAAAAAGGGCGCCCTGTTTCGTCCTAGGTTCCTGGGCACCCTAGATTCTTACTTTGGATGTTCCCCCCTATACTATCAGTCCTGAACAGGAAGTATAACAGGGGGTACTATAGTCCCTATTAAGGATCTGTTGGTATAAAGGGGGAACATCCCAACCCTAAACCCAAACCCCCCCCCGCCGATGTTGGGCAAGAAATCTAGGACACCGGCTTCATGAGGTTTGAAGGTCCTTACCAAAGCCGAGGTGAAGAAGTCCTAGGCAAGGCCGTGGTTTTCATCCTCTTGGCGTTCCTGTGGTCGGCCTGTCATGGAAGAAATTGCCTGGTTTCGTACACGTCATTAATACAATAGTGTGTGTGTGTATATGTAGCATATATAACGATGTATATATATATATATATCCTAAACCCTAAACCCTAAACCCTAAACCCTAAACCCATAAACCCTAAACCCCTAAACCCCTAAACCCTAAACCCTACGTGTGTACATCTTACTGCTCGGCACGGCACCCTCGAGTCGAAAAACAGTCACCGCCAAAGAAGCGTGAAGCAAGCGCCTGGGACAAAAGGAGCCGCTGGCCTGCTTTTGGGGTTCAGGGTTTGGGGTTTAGGATTTAGGGGTTTAGGGTTTAGGGTTTAGGGTTTATGGGGTTTAGGGTTTGGGGTTTAGGGGTTTAGGGTTTAGGGTTTAGAGTTTAGGGTTTAGGGTTTAGGGTTTAGGCTTAGTTTGATGAGACTTCAGCCCTAAAGGCTTAGTTCCTAACACCCTAAAGCCCTCACTAAACTTGAAAACCCGAAAGCCCTTAACCGGTCAAGCCCTACGGCCCCTACAACCCAAAATCCGTGCAATCCTGACGCGCCTAAACCCGACAACCCAAAAGCCCTCAGCCGCTTAAACCCTCAGCCCTTAAACCCTGCAACCCTACAGCCGTAATCCGCTAAAACCCTGACGCCCCTACATTCTAAAGCCCTACAACTCAAGCCCTAAACACTACATCCCTCCTGCAACCCTAAATAAATAAAGCCCTTAACCCTAAACCCGAAGCTCTGAACCTTACAACCCGATGAACAAAACACGACAATCCCCAGGTACCAGATAACCCGAAGCCCTAAACCTTAAATACGAAAAAACCAGGGGTTCTTAGTACTGCATGCAGGAACTAGGTATCCTATGTCCCCCATATATATGTATATACATATATATATAGATATATTGATATACATATATATATATGTATATATGTATATGTATATGTATATGTATATGTATATATATATATATATGTATACCCTTTGAGGGGTTATTTGGGGTGCCTAAGTCCCTCATCCCCTAGCAAGACGCAGTAAGAAACTTCAGCCACCCTATGCCCTAAACCCTAAACCCCAAACCCTAAACCCTGAACCCTAAAACCCTAAACCCTAGACCCAAAGCACCCAGGTTCCACGTGATCCCACCGCCTTCGGGGCCTAAACGTAAACCCTAAACCCTAAACCCTAGACCCTAGACCCTAAACCCTAGACCCTAAACCCTGCTCCCAGGTTCCAGATGATCCCACCTCCTTCGGGGCGAAGCTCATCTGCGAGCCGCGCGAGCCACCCAAGGCGACCTCGCTAGCCAAGGGCTGCCAGGGTTCAGCAGGGTTTAGGGTTTCGGGTTTAGGGTTTTGAGGTTTTCAGGGCTTCAAGGGTTTTTTGGTATTGTTAGGGGATTTTTAGGGTTTGGGCTGTTCGCGTTTTGAGTCTTGAGGGTTTAGAGGGCTTAGGCACATTGTACTCTTTTCTCTCTTGGGGGCTTACAGGCTTTCAGGGCTGGTGAGATGAGGGGCTTTAAGTGTTTTCGGGATTTTGGGGCTTAGAGCTTTAGGGTCTACGATCCGGAGAAGGCCCTTATTTCCTTTTTTTAGGCTTGCTTGGGGTTTCCTTATAGTCCCCAAAAAGGGGCACCCTTTTTATTCCTAGGTTACTCCTGGGTCTACTTGGAGGTTCATGGTACTCATAACCCTAAGTATAACTCCACTCACGACAACCACGACCACGACCACGACCACTGCCACCTCGATGAGGATGATGGTGGTGCCTTGGGATGCTTCCCCTAAAAAGGGGGGGGGGTGCTATAATCCCTATTCAGGACTGCTAGTATAAGGGGGACATCCCACATGGCGACGTTGGTGATAGTCATGATGAAATGAGTTTTTTGCTGCTGATGCCGCGCACGATGGATTTGGTGCTCTTCGACCGCTTGTACTTGGAGGTTCGTGGTACTTCTTACTTGTTTTTTCTGTACAGTTATCATTGGATGAATAAGTAAAAAGAAACCCAAGGAGGCTGCCAAAACCGTTTTAAAATTTCCTTTGCTAAGGGCATGTGGTATTCAGCTTCAGCAAGCCCTGAATAAACCCCAAAACCCTCAACCCTACAACCCTAAATTGAACTCTTTAGGACCCTACAAACCCTAAACCCTAAACCCTAAACCCTAAACCCTAAATTGACTAAAGACTTGGGGTGGTCTACGGCTTTGATGCTTCAACCCATTCACCGCAGTTCTCGTCCTGCGTCAAAGCCAGGTGCCCTCGTGCGATGCACTGGTGGACACCACCTATGCTTACGCGATGCTTGGCCGACAAGTTTAGGGTTTAGGGTTTAGGGCTTAGGGTTTAGGGTTTAGGGTTTAGGGTTAGGGTCCCTCTTTCCTAGGCCCTCTTGGATTCAGCTTTGGGGCTTTGTTGCTGATGTTCGCGGCGTGCTCGTGGGCAACGAGTCCAGGTCGTGATCCAATGAATCAGCATTTCTCGCAAAAGAATGCAGGTTATGTCGTGGTGTTCAGGGTTTTAGGGCTAGGGTTGAACGAGCGTCTGCAACCCTAAGCCCCAAACCCGCAAGGTCCATCTAGCTTAGAGTATCCTGAGTACGGGGGCCCGGCTTCGAATGGTATTCCTGAACCCTTCGCCCCAAATCCTACAGCAAATCCAAAGCACGAGCCTCTGACTCAGAGTATCCTAAATCTACGAGCCCGTATAAAAGCAAACCCTAAACCCTGAACCCTGAACCCTAAGCCCAAAACCCTAAACCCCCGAACCCCTAACCCCAAACCCCTAAACCCTAACCCCGAACCCCAAAGCCCTAAACCCTAACCCCTAAATCCTAAACCCCCGAACCCTAAACCCTAAACCCTAAACCCTAAACCCTAAACCCTAAACCCTAAACCCTAAACCCTAAACCCTAAACCCTAAACCTTAAACCCTAAACCCTAAACCCTAAACCCTAAACCCTAAACCCTAAACCCTAAACCCTAAACCCCAACCCCCCTCCCCTCCAAACGCAGCATTTCAAGCCCAGGATCCAGGGCTGCCGCAACTGCAAGGCAGGGGGAGTGCCAAGATTCAAGGGCCTAAAGTTTTTGGCGGCTAAGAGGGTGAGGGTTTAGGGTTTAGGGTTGAGGGTTTAGGGTTTAGGGTTGAGGGTTTAGGGTTTAGGGTGTGTATTGTGTTTTCTTAAAGAACGCATCGATTGAACATGGGTGTGTATTTGTATGTATACTTGTGCCTTTTCTTCTTCTTGTTGTGGATATAGTTCCATGAAAACTAAAGTATATGTATATTTGATACATGTATGTTGATTTGCTACGTTGTTGCACTTTAACGCTGGGCATAATTGAAAGGCATACCTCAGACTCTACTCTACTCCCCCCCCCCCCCACCCACCTTCGACAAGGCCGGCGACGCTAACTGCGCTTGCGAAGTAAGCTGTGCCCAAGGCCTCGGGCTTAGAGCTTTGGGGTTTAGGATTCAGGGTTTTGGGCTTCAGGGTTTCGGGCGTCCGGACCTGAGCCCTAAACCCGACACCCTAAAACGTCGGGCTTGGGCTGGTGCTTTTTAGGTTTGGGGCTTGGGCTGGTTTAGGGCTCCAGTCTAGGGGGACAGGGGGTTTGCCCTAAGCTCTATAATCCCTAAACACTAAACCCTAAACCCTCCTCAAAGCCAACAAGCTGGGACAGTATCAGGCGCATAGCTTCTCGAACTATAAACCTTAAATTAACCCTTCTTCCCCTGTTGTTTCTTTGTGTCTTTATTTGTTGATATTTTTTAGTTCTTTCTTTCTTCATTTCTTTCTTTCTTTATTTCATTATTTATTTCAGTATGTCTTTCTTTTATTTCTTTCGTTCTTTTTTCATTTCTTTATTTCTTTGTTGATTTCTTTACTTGCTTTCGTTCTTTACTGCTTTCTTTCGCTCTTTCTTTATTTATTTCGTTCTTTCTTTCCTTAGTCCTTTCTTTATGTCTTTCCTTCTGTCTTTCCCTCTTTCTTTATTTCTTAGTTTATGCATGTATGTATATGGCCCCTTCATGCGACAGGGTGACCCCCAAGAATCAACAAGACGGTGGCGGGCCGGCTTTTGAAGGGACTTAAATGGGAACCCCGAACAGGTAACCCCAAGAATGTAGTAGGAATATAGGGTTTAGGGTTGTCGGAATATACCAACCAGAGTCCTTACATGCCCTCTATTCCTACTCCAGTCTTGGGGTTCCCTGTTTTGGGGTTCCCATTAGAGTCCCTTTGGGTGTTACACTCAAGCTCCTTCCAAGCCAATTGAAACTCAATACGAAGCTGTCGCCTGACAACTGACACGTCCAGGCAGACTGGCTGCGTTTCCTTATTTATGTGATTCTGGCTCCAGGGTTTAGGATTTAGGAGGGGTTTGGGGTGTAGCGCTTAGGGTTCAGAGGTTAGGGTTTAGGCGGGCGAAAGGGTGGGCGGGGGGGGGGGGGGGGGGGGGGGGGGGGAGGGTGGCGGTGGCTATATACCATCAGGGAGAAGGGGTTATCCTTGGCGACCCTCATACAGTCCCTCTGTAACCTTCTCTAATTAGGCCTTGCAACGGGGAAGTATTGTTAACTTGTTAACTACTTATTGGCTCTTGCAGCAACTGATTCTCCCGTAGACTTCTTTTGAGAATTCAACCTACGACCTCCACAAACCAGAAGAGACCCTGACAAATTAAAGCCCTAAACCTCCTAAAGCTCTAAAGCCGGAGAATCCTAAAGCCTTAAACCCTAAAGCAAGCCCTAAACCCCAAAACCCTGGAGCCCTAAACCCTAAACCCTAAACCCTTGAGCCCTAAAGCCCCCCACTGCAAGGCCACAAGCGCACGAGCGGCGGCGACGAAGGCGCCAAGAAATGCCTCTCTGAGATCTACGAGTGCCCTGTGAGGCGGATCCTTCTTGGGGGGGTTTAGGGTTTAGGGTTTTGGG